TGAACCGCCCGCGCTGCCTTGTAACTCCATGCCATTCCATTCCATCCCATCCTGCCGCGCGATCGAGCCACGGTACCGTTAGAATCTTGTCCCAGTCTACCTGAAAACTAATTCGACGACTTCAGTCTCCGGACTCTCGGTCTGCTAGGTTGTTCACGCCCGCGGACACCGACGCAACGCCAGACAAAAGAAAGAGCTTTATCTATGCTATTACACGGCAGACAACCTTGAAATTACAGCGAAGAAAGTAGCCAGCGTTTCACGCTTAATTCTCGGGCGATAAAAGACGTGCGCGTTTCTCCGCTCTGCGGAATTGTACTGATAATGAAACGGGGATTTTTCTTGCGTTTTTCTCTTTCACTCGTTTTTCTTTATTCCGGCCCTTGCACGCGTTGAAAGTAACTCACTGGAGTTGTAGGAGATTTTTTTGATTTGCTACGGTTAAATATAAGTTTGCTCGAAGAAAGTATTTCTGTACTTTACTTATATTTAATTTACGCCGAATTGACAAACGGAAATAAATCTTCCTGCGAAGCACTAGATGTATGATGAAATAATAGAGGAACGATATATAAATCTTTGAATAATGATATCAACACATAGAACAATTATTAATTTAAAATTAGGTGAGAGGCGGCTTAAGGAATGATGGTTAGATTTTATAATTTTACGAATATAATTAAAGATCAAAGGTATTTAAATAAAAATTTTGTTTCACGTACGAATTATAATAAAATGCTCTACATGTATAGATTTAGAAGTATAGAATCATAGAAATGGTGTTACATAGTCTATTATCGAAAATTATATGCATCAAATATTTCCTTCTTCTAAAAGCTAGATTGAAAAGTCGGACAGTCGTGTTATGTATAAATACATACAAGGATGTGATCGTCTGGAAATACAGCTAGAAGGAAAGCCAGGGTAATCAACGCTTCAATTACAAATTCGCTTCCCTATTCTGAGAAATTAAATTTCGTTCGTTGCCGTTGCGTTCGTAATTATGCGTCGAAAGTTCCGTGTAAACCTTCTTGTTCACATTCTTCTCTTTCTCCCTCTCTCTTTTTGTTTCCCTCTAGTCAACTTCTTATTAACTGGCCTGGTTAGTTCGGTCTTACTCGCGACGGATACAAAGTTTGCCGAGGGAGATCTCTTGAAAATTCTAATCTTTGGGAGGAGGGGAGAGGAAGAATCGCGTGATCATGTTAAGTTTTGCATTCGCATAAATAACGGAATATAAAGTATATCGTTGACTGTGAGAAATGTTTGAGGTGCGTAATTTCGCATAGAAGCGTATTGTAAAATTCACTCTCCGGAAATTCACCTGTAAATCGAGTCAGAAATTTTGGTTTCAGTCTTTCCAATATATTGCTACGTTCGAGTCGTTAGTTGTATGGAATGTTGAGGCGAAATTTTAGGAGGGAAACGGCTAGCCGAAATTCTGACAAATCGTCAGAACTTAGTAACAATCAATCTTGGTAGCAAAAATTGGCAAGAGAGCCGGTACAAGTTCACCGAGCAGCGATCGACGTAGATCACGGAGTCGCAGATAAGACTAATAAGAAGTTGAGGGAACTGGAGGGAAACAAAAAGAGAGAGAATGCCTGTGACACGCCTGTGACACGCGCGACACTTTCGAGATCGTTGTAAATCACAAGTTAGAACAAATAATCGATACCGTAAATTGATATAGAACGAAACGTTGTCGAATCGTTGGGGTATCGCAAGGACACGGAGGGACGAAAAATGGAAAAGATCGAGGAAGAAGAAAGGGGAGGCAAACACGAAGGTAGGGGATGGACGTCGGGTGGTAGCGGTGGTAGTGGTGGCGGTGGTAGTGGTGCTGATGGCGGTAGTGTGGGCGTCGGCAGAGCAAGGGGTGGAAAATGGGCTACGGAGGGTTGTACGAGGCAAGCACGAAGAGGGGGATGGACGCGGTCACCATGGCAACCATGGCTGGGTTTCAGGGCCCCGGCCGATGGTTTGGGTAATGTTCCGCGCCTTGGAATGGATTTCTCTCGCTTCGCTACCAAATGGGGTTAGTCAATGCTAAGCACACGCTTATTCTTTCTTTTCTCTGTTTCTGTTCTCATCCCCTTCCTTGTTCTCTCCCCTCCTGTAACTCGTCCCTTTTCGACTTTGCATTTTTTTTTTTTTTCGCGCCTAAAGTCATCGCGGTGGTTGATCTGTAACGTCGGTTGTCGTCCAAGTCAATCGAATCTGTTACGTTGTTGCATACTCGAAATAGGGGAACGTCGAAAATTGCGGGAGAAAATATTTCCACTAATGGTATAATGGAATCGCGCGTTTCCTGCGAAGGGCCGGATAATTTATCGCGAAGCTGATTAGCCAAGAGTCGGTATCTCGGATTCCTCGGGAAAGATGGCGCGCTTAATGGTGGCATAGTTAACGTAACTTGCTGGCGATAAGGTCAAGATTATCGGCGCGATGAAAGTCGTTGATTAATTTTCACGGGAACGGTTCTAAAGGTCCTTTTGATTCGACGACGACAAAAGTGGTAGACGAGCGTCGCTCTCTAAAGCTCTCGTAAAGAACCGTGAACGCAGAAATATGGCGATCTGTTTATTTTTCCGAGAGTTTGAGTCCTTTCAAACGGATGACTGTTGTCCGCATCCCCGTCGCTGGTCTGCTAAGGTTCTTATGGCGCGCTGCTGTGAGAAATACACAACTTCCTGTAATTACTTAACTAGTGATTTGCTTTCCTCTCTCTCTCTCTCTCTCTCTC